TACTTACCTTTAACTAATCACAGGGCAATTACAAACATCTAACACAAGGTATGACTATAATTCCCAGTAAACTGTTTCTTTAATACAATTAAACTAACCAAGCCACAAAGTGGAGGCGAGCGGAAATGTAGCGGTTTTCTGTCGACCCGGCTGCCAACTTCATCAATAGGGAGCCGCTAATGTGCAGACTAGAGCTGGGCAGTTCGATTACAACTTCATTTGGTAATGAAGTGAGAGTGAGAGGCTCCCGTGAACACTTTAATGAGCTCAGCGTGATGGTTTGGAATCGAATAAAGCAGATTTTGTGATTTAGACACATGGAGGAGAGTTTGCTAGCATTACGACACAAATGAGACCCCACGCAAATACTGTCTGTACTCATATACATATCATTACATTTAATTACAACAAGCTGGCGCTTTAGTGGTGTTCTCGCCCATGGACATGGACACACACAAGCGTACACACGTATACTGTGAGATACCCTCATCCGTTGGCAGCGAGAGTAGACCAGAGGGAGCGAGACAGCTGCCCGGGGTGGATGTGTGCCTCCCGGTTTGTGTGGGATTGCACCCATGCCTTTCGTTTGGCCGGCTGAGGCTGCCTGGAGGGTGAAGTGTATTGTAAGTGTGACCACAGTACATTGTTGCATGACTAATCTCGGCCTTCCATCTGCCACTGAGGCCCCGGCACAAGCACTGCGCTCTCCAGCATCAAGCGCTGCCATATTGCAGCAGTCACAACATCTTGGCTTTGACTGGCACTCTACAACAGCAGAAGCGCCCGGGTGAACCCACTGCCTGCCTCACAGCTGGGAATTATGGGACGTTACATGTGCACACATAACGAAACAGAGATTTGTCCTGATGTCCAAAGCTGACGGCTTGTGCAAATGTCTTTGGTTTGAGAGAACTTGATTGTGATGCACGATGTGTTCAGTTTAAAGGGATGGTTTACTGTCATAATTTACTCACCCTATCGCTTTCTTTTACAAAACACAAAAGATATTTTGAAAAATGTTTCAATTTTGAGGTGTGGTGGGATGTTCATAAAACAGTTTGCAACGCAATTCCCAAAAACCTCTCTCTGAATATGTAAGACCACTTTAAAGTGGATAAATTTACAGGCACAACAGAAATTTAACCATGCAAACGTCCAACAGCTAAAGCATAGCAAGCTAATAGCTATGCTAATTAAAGCCATGCCAATTAAAACCTAAAGGCTTGTTCATGCCAAAAATTATAACTATAACGCTAACTTGATTCGTGTCCACACCAACGGATGATAATATTCTGTTTGTTATAAGCGTATGCTGCAGTTTTGTCATCTGGCTCTTTAAATGCTCAAGCTCTTTAAAGCAGGATGGATTCTGATTGGCTGTCAATGTTTTTATCATTTATCAGCTTAAAAAAAAAAAAAAAACATTCTGAAACTGATTCCAATGATTTTTGCCTCTGTGTCATTATCGTTATAGTTGTGTTATGGATTTAACTGTTCTCGTAGAATTAGAATGATTTTTAATTTTAGATTATATATAGTTGTAATTATAGTTATCGTCCTTTGTGTGAACAGGCCTTAACTGCAAAAAATATCAATACTAAAAATAAAGGAAAAATCAAGAAAAACTAGTCAACTCGACTAATCGATTAGTTGGTTGTTAGACAATTAATCGATTAGTCAGCCTAAATAAACAAGTAGTTTATTTATTTCTTTAGTTTCTTTCTTTTGCCTTCCATACAGCTTTTTTTCGTACTGAGTTTCTTTCTCTTTTTGAAGTGTGAAGTCTTGTAAATTACAGGGAGGATGTGTGGTTTGTCGAGAGCCGCCTCTCTCCCTCTCCGATTAAACCACCACACTCAGGCTCTCTTTAATCTTCCGTAGTCCAAACTACCAGCCTGCTTTTGTTGATGCTAATTCAAAACTCATGTAGAATCTCTCAGATATCCGAGATATTACCATACAAGTAATTATAGCATGCACTTTTTGGTCTGGTTTGGTCTGCTGGTAATACACGAGATCAGGGAGTATTTGCATGAAAGAAAACCTTCACATGAGATAGACGCTTAAAGCTCAACAAATACGCTCTGATCTGAAGTGCAAACTCAGATATACTGCACTGAATGTACAAATACAGTATTCGGTAAGTGTTTCCATGATGTGCCAGAAGTGGAAAACTACAGATTGCAGTGTAATTGTGGGCAAAGCCAAAAGTGCACATATGACTGTGCTGGAAGTGATTACAGTTGAGTTCATTTCCAAGTCAGGAAGATGATGTTTAAGAGCCCAAGCATTTAGCAGTTTGCAGCAGCACAAATTTTATCACTCTCTCTCAGCAGTACAAGTGAGATTTTTTTTTGCAACATCAGCATTTAGTACACACACAAAAAAACAAGAAACATTCACAACTGCAAAGTGTTAGTGAGACACCCAGTCACAAACTTTTTCACACACATTTAGCTACCCAAATGGGGACTTACAATAGGTGATTTTATTTTTATATAGAGCTGATTATACAGTATTGTAAGCTTTCACTATTAGAATAGCTGGAGACAAAAAGAAAGTGCACTAATTGTATTGAATGTGCACTTGTAGTGCAGTTCACATTTTAAAAGTATATTTTAAAAAAACTACTTGAAGGCCATATATAATATTATTGAAATAAAAAGTCAAGTACTACATTATAAAGTACATTATAAGTACATCTTTTGTCCTACTGTAAAGAAGAACACTTTCATGTTCACTAACATACTAAAGCACATCTAAAGTACTTGATTATAATTTTAACTGTAGTGTGTTATAATGTTAATATATTTTAAATGTATTAAATTGCAACTTCATCATTACAAATGTGTAATTACAAATATATTGAAACACATGACATGCAAGTTTTAATAGAAATTACTTTAAGTACAGTTTTAGTTTACCATAAATGCTTGTCAGTGTATTCGGTAGTAAACTTTAACCACACGACGATAGAAGAAATTATGAAATTACATATAAAGATCCCATAATCTCTACTTAATTGTGTCAAAAAACACTCTAATTTTCAACTAATTGCATTTAATATATAAAATATACTCTAAGTATCTGAAGTGTATGTCTTTTTCACAAGGGACCAACACTCTGTAGACACACATTAACACATTGTGAAGTGTAGCCCACTCAAATTTGACAGGAAACACATGCTAGTAGTTCTACAATAGGCAACACTGTTTTGACTGGGCATTTCAGCCTCTAGGCCAGACGTGACTTGAAAACGCAAGTTTTGTAGTTAGCAATCGCTCTGTGTGACCATTTAGATGAGATTTGTATGGTTTTAACACTTCATGGTTTACCCCAAAGTCTCTCACACACACACACACATGCGTTTGATGTTGTGCCACTATTGGCTGTTTATTTGAGCAGTTGGCTGTGATTGGATGTGATTTTCTGCCAGATTGTTGCAGTGTTTCCTTGATTTGTAGTGCAATGGTTATAATGAGATTGCAATTAGCCGCAGCGTTTTTTTGCACAAGCAGTTTTCCTTTAACTTGAAACGTACTGTGTGGTGCTAATGCTAAACACAGTGACTCGTAGGAGTGCTGCGTGTGATTTGTGTTAATCACTCTCTCTCTTAAGCTACAGGATCAACATTTGTCATTCAGCAATCTTCTACCACAAATAAAAATTTAAAAGCTGGTCTGACATCATTGCCAGCTTGTAAGTGTTCCCTTCTAAGACAGCAGCTGTTTTGGTCTAAGTGCCACTCCTAAATTATCGTGGCTTATGTGTTTTCTCATTTCCTTCATGGGCTTTCAATCATGTGTTGATCTTAAGCTTTTGGTTTGATGTTTTTTATGGGTGATGAGCAAATGTTTTAATTGTATTTAATGCGTTCAGTGTTGATTATTATTTTTCATTTCCAAACCACAAATAGATTCGCTGTGTGAAGTTGTAAACAGGCCATTTTTGAAGATGCAATGTCATTGTTTAACAGGCCCAATTTTCTTCCCTGCATAGATGTATTTCCTCTTTAAACAGGAAGTTTGAAGTAGCCAATAGGCTTTAGAATGTTACAGCCATAAGCCATGATTTGCTAGTAAGTTGGTATTAGGGGGCAGGACATTTTCATTCTAGAGACCATCTGATTGGATGAAAATCTTAGTAGTGCAGGATGTCTCCATTATATTTGGTCTGTTTTCCTACACTAAATTTTAAATGAGTACATCTGTTAACAGATTCACTTGGAGAATACTAGCATGTAGCATTATGGTCTCAAAACTAACAGACATGAACTAAAAGAGCCTGGAAAATCTAAAATTTGGATTTCATTTAGAAAATTTGCTTTAGTTGAGCTACATTCAGTGTTTTTTTTTGTTTTTTTTAGTATCAGTGAGATACTATTATAGTTTGTTTATATTTTTAATTATAGTTTTTATTTTTATATTTTCTGTTTTCATTTTAATTTGAGTTAAAGTACAGTATTAGTAATTTTGTTGTATTTTGTCATTTATTTCAGTTTTAGTTATGAAAATGAGAACTGTTTCCTTGGCAATGGCTGAAATAAGTTTTTTTTTTATATTTTGTCATTTATTTCAGTTTACATTTATTTGAATCCAAGTAACATTTTTTTATATATTTTTTTTTTAGTTTTAGTTAACTCTAATACCTGGCTACAATATTTATTGCTTCATTGTCATTACTGCATATACATTTATACAGATTTAGCAAATGCTTTTATTCAAAGTAACCTGAATTGTCATAAATAATATACTCATTTACTATGATTTTGTATTGCATAATGGTAGCATTATGGTAATACTATGGTATTTTTTTAAGTATCTTGAAGTACCATTAGAAATACCACAATAAATTAATATGGTAATCCTATAATTTAAGTTTTCTTCCTGTTCACCCCTGCTTGAATTGAAGTGTTTTCAGAGACCTAAGTTAACTTTTTGCAGCAAGACAAGTTAAACAAGACCAATCATTTGCTTGTTTTTATTGGTTGCTCTTCCCAGGTCAGTGTGCCTAGAGTTCTCCAGGCTCGGGCTCCGAAATCCCAGCTGTTGCCATGGATCCCAGCAGCTGGAGTGGCAGTGAAAGTGCCGGCGAGGATATCGAGAGGATGAGCGACTCGGCTGATAAGCCAATGGACAACGATGCAGAGGGCGTGTGGAGCCCTGACATTGAGCAGAGCTTCCAGGAGGCCCTGGCCATCTACCCACCCTGCGGACGACGGAAAATCATCCTGTCCGATGAGGGGAAAATGTATGGTGAGTTGAAAAACTGCAACAATTGGTTTGATTGCTCGGTCAGAACTTGAGTTTGAATCCGGAGTTCACATAAACCAGACCACCTTATCAAGTATGAATTGAACCCAACATTGACATCAAGTTGACTTTAAATATAGAGGTTTTACTAACAGACCTTTATCTCAATCTACATATTTTGACTAGCTGTGTAACATTATGACTGCCGTTGCAGCTTGTTTTGACTGCTCGTAATCATGAGTTGTTTGTTGAAGTTGGCGGGGGACACGCTCATCAGAAAGTTCTCAGGGAAGTTGTTAGTTGTTTGTCCTCAGGGTGAAACGATGAGGTCCGTCGGGCCTCTGAAACTGGAAAAACGGGACTCCAGCGGGCCAGGCGGTGGAGCAGGCTGGCTGTCCTGGGTTCTGTTGTAAAGTCAGCGTGAACCATT